GCATCAACACTACTGCTGTTCCTGAAACCATGCCTTCTTTCTTTGCGTGCACATTTTGGGCGGCGTTATGCAAATCTTCCCACATAGTGATGTAGACATGTGGGGGCGTGTTAGGATGAGCCGTTTTAGGTAGGTGTGGCTGACTTTTTACAGATCTTCTTTGCAGCTTTACAGATCTTCTTTATGCACCAAGAGCTTGTAACACTCCAAAGAGAAAGGAAAACTTGAAATCGCATCATATGACCCCTTTAAAAGAACACAATGACCACTCTTATTTCTTGTTTCTTAACTCTTATTTCTAATCGACTTGTCAATGCTTTCAAACCTGATCTTACCAGAAATTATGATGTTCCTCACATTTTTGTTGGAGTCATTACTAATTTTGACCCTTACATTGATGGGTTCCCCATGATAGTAAGTCTACAAGAGAAAATTGTAATGATCTAATTTAATAAAAACTATGGTGCGTGCAATATTCCACATTGATTTATTATATTCCAATAAACATTTTACATTTAAAAAAACAACATGAAACATTGCTAATAACACCAAAGAAAGACACAAATTATGATACATGCATGCTCGACTAGTGGTCTGTTTAAAACCCACCTGCTTCTGTAAGCTTGCCTCCATGTGCAATGGTTTATCAGACATGAGAAAGTCACGAGTGGTCTCCACACAGGGAGCTGGCCCTAGATTCTCTGGAGCATACTGGACCTTGCGAATCATCAAACGTACTGAGCTCCTGATTGAGGAAGAGGAGAAGAAGACATATGTCACTGTTGAGATACCCCAAAATGGTCTACATTGCTCCATAGACAACATGAAGGAATTAGGATAATGGTAGGACAATAGGCAAGTAAATCATGGCAGGCTTGTATACAACAGTATCCACTATGTTTCCCCTGTATAGAGAATAAGAACAAAGAGTTGTAGATTGGACTAACCGTTTGCGAACTTTGGTATCCTGGCTTTCAGCACAGAAAGCTTTCACCTCAAACTCAACAGCACAGTGCTGTGAAAAACATTAGACAGTTCTGTGAAAAAATAGATACTACAAAGAGGCTATATATCATGTACATTCAAAAGAAACAACTATGTCAAAATTAGGTAGAAAAATTGGTTCACAGTTTAGAAGAATGGTTTGATGTTAATGGATACCTTTCCAACATCTTTTGGGGCTGACTGTAGTCCTACTGAACAGGGTAAGTTGTCAGGGAACTAAAAACAGAATTGAGAAATGTATAAATGTATAAATAAATGTATACTATACATACAGTACATATAAATGAATATATATATATATATATATATACACTAGCAATCAAAAGTTTGGACACACCTTCTCCTTCAGTGTTGCCTTTTTCGGAGTGTCTATTTACACTAAGTGCAAACAGGCCGCCTTGTTGGCAGAGGCTATTTACACTAACGCCGTCCACCAACGTGTGATTGGGCTAGTCAACACTACAAAAGAGACAGTTAAAAAGAGCTCCAGTGGTGTAAATGGTAAAGCACGTGCTGCAGTCATTTTGACGCAGTCGACCAGAGTTCGAATCCGCCTTTTGACAAACATTTTTTTCTCCCTTTTCAAATCTCATATCACATCGGAAAGGCATTTATTTTCAATAAAAATGAAGGAAATAATTGAAAAGTTGAAAATAAAGTATCGGGTAGGGTTAGGATAGGTGAAGAGAGGGCTTTATTGTCCCATAAGGTGGCATCCATTTAATAATCTGAATTGAAGTCCCTGTCAAATCAAAATTAAAGTTTTTTGGGTGTTGGTATCAATATACTTAAGGTTAAGGTCTTTAGGTTATCTATAAGCCAGTGTGCTCCAAAACAGTGACAAAATTCGCATTTAGAAGATATAAGAATTCAAAGCTTGCAGTTCATCACTTCCACCAAAATGGATCAACGATTTTTTTGACGTACTTTCACCTTGTACTTCAGCTTCTCATCAAATCTTCTGAACAATCAAATGCTCTCTAGAATCCAAAGCGCCCGCCCCCTACACTATAAATAGACGCTGAAGCGCAGGCTGAGATCAGTCACTTGTTCACAGGATTTGTATTTTCTGTACGGTGAATGGAACGTAGTGCAATATATAGGGGATAGGGAACGATTCAGACAGTGTAAATATGCTTTACATTGGGGCAAAAGAAGTCTGGTTTCGCGCTATGTCACGCTAACCACAGTCTGCTCTTGTCCAGAGACATGATAGCACGGAGCAGATCATATGCGCGAGTCGGCGCAGACCACAAAATGTATCGGACCCATTTTAATTCTAAACAGAACTCTATATTTTATAGCAATATGGATGAGATTGTAGTTGTCATACCCTGTCAAGTTTCAAAATCAATGTTCTAAAGCAGCGGTTCTTAAACCTGTTCCTCACGTCCCCCTGCTCTGCATCTCTCTCTCTCTCTCTCTCTCTCTCTCACCTGTTCATCAGCTCGTCAGCTCCAATAAGCTGTTTTGCATTTGTACACTTTATGTGTATAGACAGACAGATATTTTCCACATAGCTATGAGAAGCGTTAAACATGGACGTGCATGTGGTTGCCCTGCTGTATTAAAGGGGTCATATGATGCCATTTCAAATTTTCCTTTCTCTTTGGAGTGTTACAAGCTGTTCGTGCATTGATAAGATCCCTAAAGTTGCAAAGACTAAAGTCTCAAACCCAAAGAGATAAAAGTTAAGACTCGTCCACGCCCTCCTAAAAGCGGAGTCCTGCCCAGGGTCGTCACATGTGGTTGCCACAAGCTCGCCGGCCTCCGCTCACTCAAGCCCGCGGTGTGTGACGCTGTGTGTTTCGTTGTGAAAGCGAAACTACTTTGTTTGGCCTTCCAAAAGAGGACATAACTAGAAATTGGGGAAGTCGTGGCCTAATGGTTAGAGAGTCGGACTCGTAACCCAAAGGTTGCGGGTTCGAGTCTCGTACCGGCAGGGATTGTAGGTGGGGGGAGTGAATGTACAGCGCTCTCTCCCACCTTCAATACCACGACTGAGGTGCCCTTGGCTGCCCACTGCTCCGGGTGTGTGTTCACGGTGTGTGTGTGTTCACTGCTGTGTGTGTGCACTTTGGATGGGATAAATGCAGAGCACTAATTCCAAGTATGGGTCACCATACTTGGCCACATGCCACGTCACTTTC